ACTTTAGGCGTTTGTAGTGCAGCAGAGATGGCTTGAGATGAGACCTGCTTGACCGTTGGAGGAAGAAGGCGGTCGATCGTTGTCACTGACTCGTCCACCTACACGTTTATGATCAAATAAAATAAGTTTCTAATGTTGTTAGACAAACATGACTCTCCAAAATGGTATGATATTGTCCACTTTGAGTATAAGCTCTCATGGTTTTGCTTTGGGCTTCCCCAAAAGACCTCGTACCAATGGAGAGAGTATTCTTTGATTATAAACCCATGATCATTCTCTAAATTAGCCGACGTGGGACTTTCATCATCCAACACCTCCCCTCGAACAAAGTACACCTCCCCTTAATCAAGGTTTGACTCCTTTGGAGTCTTAGTCATTTTTTGCTATGCCTTCAAGGAGGGTTGACTCCTTTTCTTTTGGAGTCCTTTGTTCGACATTTGAGGATTTACCAATCTATTGGCACAACTAAGTTTAGGGCATGACTCTGATGTCATGTTAGACGAACACGACTCTTCACAATGGTATGATATTGTCCACTCTGAGTATAAGCTCTCATGGCTTTGCTTTGGGATTCCTCAGAAGGCCTCGTACCAATGGAGAGAGTACTCTTTGATTATAAACCCATGATCATTTTCTAAATTAGTCACGTTGGACTTTCATCATCCAACAAATGGTAGTTGAATTTAGGGGTATACATTGAACCTGACAATCCGATGACCCGAACCGACCCAATCCAAATTATAAGGGTTGGGTTGAATTAATTTGTCTGAACTTGAATAGATTCGGTCTGGATTTAGATATAATTTTTTTAAATTAATTATTTTTATTGTTTTTTATTTTAACATCTATCCTGGTATTTTCTTTGTTTGTAGACTAATAAACTGATCATTTAAGTGTAGCTATCTAATTGTGTTTAGTTCTATGACAATGTTGAACTATGTTAAAATGTTACTAGCTTGTTGTTGATGAATAATTTTTTTTTATGATTATAGATTAATTTGTGTTTGTTTTGTGAACTTTTAATATATTTTATCTAAGATTGTATCGAATAATTATGAATTGTTGATAAATAAATAAAAATTAAAAATAATTTTTTCAACCTGACATTTCATAGAGTGTTGGATTGGGTTGGATTTAATTTATCTCTGTTTTATGAATTTTTAATATATTTTTATCCAAGATTGTATCGAATAATTATGAATTACAGATAAATAAGAGTGTTAATATATATATATATATATATATATATATTAACAAAGGACCATCCAACCTGAAAATAGAGGATTAGATTGGATTTAATTTGTATTTGTTGTGTGTTAAATGGTGAATTAGGGATTAATAAAAGTTTTTTTAAAAATGATTTTTTTTTAACTAAATTTTTTTAGTTGGGTTGAGTTACCCATACAACGAAGGCAAAGTGTTAGATTAATCCAAAAATTCTCTCGACGCAATCCAACCCGACTCATGCCCATGGAATTTAAACCAACCCAAGAGCACAACAAATTTAACTGATTATAGGATCAAAAGAAGAAAAAAAAAACGAACCTTGCGATCAATGAACTTAAGAACCTCATTCGAAGGGCCGTGTAACTTATTGTACAAAGGACCAACAACGGACTTCACAGTGCCTTCCATGGCTTCGACGCCGAACTTCAGCGGACCGGACCAGTCCTTTGCATAGTCGTAAAACTTGAGTAAACACATTGCTGCTCGAAATGCCGCTTTTAGAATGAACTCCAAATACTTAAGCCCCCCCTCCTCAGCCCGAGCCGCCTACACAAAATACAACAAAATCCGAACCGAATCGAATCGCAAAAAGTTCAAGTAATGAGAGAGTTATAAGAGGGCTTACCATTTCCAAAGCCAAAACTAGAGGAAAGAATGATGTAGGGGAAGAAGGGAAGAAGGGAAGAAGAAGAGTGGGGATTTATAAGGTCCATCTATAAATATGACGTCATAAATCATTATAAATTTTTATATATTTGTTCTACTCGAAAAATTCAATCCACACAACAACAGATATTATCATTTTTGGGCTCTCCATTTCGTGCTTCCCGTCAAAATTTTTAAAACGTGTCTATCACGGAAAGATTTCCACACCCTTATAAAGAATGTTTCGTTCTCCTCCTCAACCGATGTAGGATCTTACAATCCACCCCCTTTGGGACCCAACGTCCTTACTGACACACAGCCTCGTGTCAACCTTCCTTCGGGGCTTAGCCTCCTCGTTGGCATATCGCCTGGTATTTGTGACAGCCTAAGCCCATCACTATCAGATATTGTCCTCTTTGGGTTTTCCCTTTCGAGTTTTCCCTCAAGATTTTTAAAACGCGTTTGTTAGAGAAAAGTTTCCACACCCTTATAAAGAATGTTTCGTTCTCCTCCTTAACCGATGTATGATCTTACAATCCACCCCCCTTTGGGACCCAGCGTCCTTACTGGCACACTGCCTTGTGTTAACCTCCCTTCGAGGCTTAGCCTCCTCATTGACACATCTCCCGGTGTCTCTCTGATACCCATTTGTAATAGCTCAAACCCACCACTATCAGATATTGTCCTATTTAGGTTTTTTCTTTCGAGTTTCTCCTAAAAAAATTTTAAAACGCGTTTGCTAGGGGAGGTTTCTACACCCCTATAAAGAGTATTTTGTTCTCCTTCCCAACCGATGATGTGTCCTTTAAAGGATGTTCTCGAACACGTAAGTCCATGATAGCGTTTTAAGACAAAGTTATGTTTTACGAAAAAGTTTAAATGCTAATTTTCGCATTCTTAAGAAATCAAGAAAATATATTTTTAATTAAATTTTATGTAGCTTTCTTATTTAGGTAAATATCAAGAATTAATTACCAAATTTAAATAATTATTTAAGTTATTAATAATAAAGAAGTCTAGAGGTAAGAAACACATTGCCCACGTGGCTTGGGACCAAACACCGGATGAAATTATGGTAGATCCTTGTCAGCATCCACACAGTATGTGATTTTATCTGCTTCCACGTAGCTGCTGAGGTGTCTGCTGAGGTGTATGCCATGAATGAGTTCTAAACAATTTACTTATTTCTCTAATTTCTTAATTATTAAAATAACACTTCAATAATTTATTAGTTTATTTTTATATAAATCATAAAATAATAGTGCTAGTCCATTAAAATAAATAATAATTTTTTTTTCAAATAATAAATTTTTTTGGTGCTTAGAATTCAATAATTTTGAGTAAAATTGTTAAATAGAGACCATCGAGTTACTTTCTCTTTGATAATGATGAGTACGAACGCGTACACTATGAAGATGATCATGATCATCATGCCTTGCATGATATTCGAGGGTTTGTTGTACCTCCGGACGTCCGACTACAGCCAATTAACCCAACTATGATGGGCCTATGGTGTGTACAAACCAACTAGTGGGTTCACACTCGCACGTGTAGCCTGTGTGTAGAGAAGTACTACATATCCAATTTGTCTGGACTAGAGACGACCTCTATGATGGTTTTAAATGATAGATCCCTAATATATATGTTTGCATTCACGGGCCCCAATAGTAAAGTCACTTACTGATTATTTTTTAAAATACTCAAGTCGTGTGCTATTTTTATATTTCAAGTAAAAACAAGGCACCCTGTACGACTAATAACGACATCGCAAGTAAAGATCATGACACATGCATAGAGTAGTTGCATTTAAGTCGTAGTCACAATAAAGGTCTGTGGTAGAACTCTATTGAACTAGTAACATGTTTTAGAGAAGATGGGTCGTTTAAAATAGTGTTAGACAGATAGATGACTATTTAAGATGAGACTAATATGAATCATCAGGTGTGGCTCTTATACTTTGCTCAGAGGAGGAATGATGACCATGGATGTAAGGACTCCGTCTCATTAGCACGAGACCTTTTATAAAAATCAAAAGCAAAATGGTCGCGAACCCGACTAAATTTTCGTTTAAAGTAAAAGTATTTATACGACCCGAAAACCCGACTAACCTAGACTAGCCAACATAAACCATAAACGTTGAGTCGGGTTAAAATTGAAAATTTCAGGTCAATTCAAGGGTAATTTTTTGGTGTCCAATAATAAGAGAATTGCATTATATTACAATTTCTTAAAAAAAAAAAAAAAAAAAAAAAAAAAAAA